TTTTCCACAGTGGCTGCACCAATATACGTTCCCAGCAACAGTTGCATGAGGGTTCCTTTTTCTCTACCTCCTTGTCGATACTTGTTATTTCTTGTCTTTTTGATGACAAGTGTAGGGTGATCTCTCATTGTGGTTTTGATTTGCATTTTCCTGATGATGAGTGATGTTGAGGATCTTTTCATGTGTCTATTGGCCATTTCTATATCTTCTTTGGAAAAATGTCTAGTCAGGTCTTCTGCCCAGTTTTTGATCAGATTTTTTTTTACGGTGCTGAGTTGTATAAATTATTTATGTATTTTGGATATTAACCCCTTATCAGATATATCATCAGCAAATATCTTCTCCCGTTTAGTAGGTTACCTTTTTGTTTTGTTGATAGTTTCCTTTTGCTGTGCAAAAGCTTTTTATTTTAGCGTGGTTCCAATCAGTTTATTTTTGCTTTTGTTTCCCTTGCTTGAGGAGACATATCTACAATAAAGTTGCTAAGGCCAATGTCAAAGAAATTACTGCCTATGTTTTCTTCCAGGATTTTTATGGTTTCACGTCTTACATTTAGGTGTTTAATCCATTTTGAGTTTGTTTTTGTGTGTGGTGTAAGAAAGTGGTCCAATTTCACTCTTTTGCATGTAGCTGTCCAGTTTTCCCAACACCATTTATTGAAGAGACTGTCTTTTTCCTAGTTATATTCTAGCCTCCTTTGTCAGAGATTAATTGACCATATAAGCATGGATTTATTTCTAGGAAGAGAGCCATGTATGTCTAAGAGTGGAAGAGGGTATGAAGTAAGGAAATGTTCCAAATAATCAGTAATGTGTATAAAGTGGGCATAGTCCGGTTTTAATGGACAGCTAAAGATTACATGAATAAGTTTTATTAGTAGCATGAAACCATTGCAACAAGTTATTTTACTCTTTTCACTTAGGCTTAAAACCGTTTTTTAAGGTTAGCTATTATTGACACCACAATTAAAAACCACTAGTATTTTCTCGTCTCTGTTGTAGAGATGAAAATGCTATTCCACACCTTGAGTTGTCTGGGTAGAGTAAAAAAAAAAAGGAAATATTTTCATTCCTCCTCTTGCTATTTCCAGAAGCTATACACATGCGAAAGAATCACAAAGGAAACAGAGCTGTAGAATAATAGAGTCACAGGGGGCCCTAGAGATCAGTAACAACTTCTAGTTTAGTTTACCAGTGGCTGTGATGGTTAATTTTATGTGTCAGCTTGGTTAGACTATGACGCCCAATGGTTTAGTCAAACACTGGTCTAGATGCTGCTGTGAAGGTCTTTGTGGATATGATTAGCATATATAGTTATTTGACTTTGAGTAAAGCAGATTATTTTCTATAATGTTAGTGGGCCTCATCCAATCAGTGAAAGGTCTTAAAAACTGGGACAGGTTTCTTAAGGAATTCCTATTCAAGACTGCAACATAGAAATCCTACCTGAGTTACCAGCCTGCTGGCCTGCCTTTCAGGTTTTCTAGCTCCACAATCACATGAGCCAATTCCTTAAATAAATCTGTCTCTTTCCCCTCTCTCCTTCCCTCTCTCCCCACCGCATATATTTATAAATATAAATATATATGTAATATATATTTACAAATATTTTAATTTATTTATCTTATTCTTATTATATAAATTTTATGTAAATGATAAAAATAAAAACATATTTATATTTATTATATAAAATTATATTTATAAAACATATATATTTATATATAATAATATATGTATTTTATATATATATTTCTCTAGAGAACCATGACTAATACAGTGGGATGACTAAAACCCAGTGAAATTACATGATTTTCTTAATGTCATTTAGTAAGTGGTGGCAGAGCTGGTAAAAGAAAGATGGGGAAACTGGGTCATAAAATTGCCTAAAATATTGATTATAATGCTAGGAAAGAAATTCAGAACCATCAACTTTCAGCCCTGTCTGTTCTGGTGGATTGCATGCTGAGAAATGTGAAATTTTATGCAAAACCAATATATTAAAAATTCTGAAATTTAAAGCAGATAAAACAGGAGAGGGATTGTTTGCTTCACCAAAAGATACAGTGTACAATTCTTTTTTTATTATTTAAATTCAATTAGCCAACATATAGTACACAATCAGTCCAGATGTAGTGTTCAGTGATTCATCAGTTGTGTATAACACCCAGTGCTCATCACATCACGTGCCCTCCTTAATGCCCATCATCCAATTATCCTATTCCCCGCAGCTTCCCCTCCAGCAACCCTGTTTGTTTCCTATAGTTAAAGTCTCTCATGGTTTTTCTCTCTCTCTCTGATGACTTCCCACTCAGTTTTCCCTATGATCCTCTGTGCTATTTCTTATATTCCACATATGAGTGAAACCATGTAATTGTCTTTCTCTGATTGACTTATTTCACTCAGCATAATA